AAAGGAGAAGAGGGCTCATATGGGGGGCCCCCCAGGGCTTTTAAGAGGAGGTTTAAAGGTTAGAGGGCCCAGTTTTTAACCGTTGAGTGGAAGTGGGTTTTTGGAGGGACACAGGGAAGTCCTCCACGGCCCTAAAGTTTTTATAAATTTAAAGGGCCAAACCCCCAAAAACCCTTTAAATGTATGGGGGGGAGGGGCCCAAAACAAAGGGAAATTTGACCCCGGGGGGGAATTCAAGAATCTCTAGAAAGGAAGTGGCCCCGGGTTTGGGGGGGGGCCCGGGGACCCAGGGTTTTTCCCCAGAAACCCCGAACCGGAAAGGCCCAAGGGGCCCGGGCCTTCCCCGGGCAAGGCAGGTCCGGGGCGGCCCCCCCCGGTCCCCGAGGAAGGCTAAACTGCACCACGAGGTTGCCGCGCTGCGCAGGAAGGTCTCCAGCAGGCGCAGCATGCTCACGTCCGCGCTCTCGAACAGGATCCGCCAGTAGAAGTGGCGCCGGAGCCGCTCCCCGCCCCAGCGCTCTGCAGCCCCAGGTACACTGTGCGCAGGTACCTGCCGGAGGGACGCGGTGCTGAGGCGCCCACCCCGAACCCGACCCTGGCCACACTGAGCCTACCACCCCAAATGCTAAACGGCCGTTTTGAAAGGACCCACTCCTGGGGCTGAGGTCGGGGAGCTCCTGATGGGCTCTTCAGCTTCAAGCAGTGACACAAAGGAGAGGCTTAATCCAGCATTCTCATCATCATGACTGCTCTGGCACATTGGGGCCTGCTTTCCTGACTCCCTACAGTGCCCTGAGCGTACAATAGCCCCGCTATTACCCCCATTTTATAGATGAGAAAACTGAGACCCAGGGAGCTATGCCATTGGTCCAAGGTCACACAGCTAGGAAGCAGTGGAACCAGCATCACACCCAGGCAGCCTGGCCTCAGGGCTCACCTTCTGACATTAAGCAACTCTGCCTCTCCCCGTATGCCATTAAGAGTTTGCCTACTCAGGAGCAGTTCCTGGTGCCAGCCCCCAGTTCTGTGGCCACCAGCAGCTTTCTGGCTTGTTTCCAAGCCCACCCCCGAGTGCCCAGTTCTCCCCGCAGGACACGGGAGGCTGCTTAGAGATCCTCTGGCATTTGAGACTTTGCCGCTTCTCACGTCGCTTCTCCCAACAAACCTCCTGCCTCCAGCTACTCTGCACAGGCCAGATTCCAGCTCACAATCCTCCTCCTCACTGGGCTTTTGCAACTGCTGTTTCCTCTGTCTGGTAATACCCCCCCTCCAGCCCCCAACCGGGATAACTCTTGCTTTCCCCCAAGGCTCAGCTTATCAACATGGTTTCTTCCAGGAATCAATCCTCCACTGACCACTCTCCACTTGGAGAAGGGCCCCCCCCCCCCCAGGCTTTCCTCCAACCTAGTACTTTTCACAGTGGGTTTAACTGTCTGCTTATGCATCTGCCTCCCCCACACTGTGATCTGTGTGAGAACGATTAGGTCGGCTTGCTAACTGCTGTATCTCCAATTCTTAGCACGTAGATGCTCAACCTGTGTGTTGCCTGAATGAGTAAATGAATGAATGTGTGAATGATTGGAAGTTTGTTGAACTGAATGGAACTCCGGTAACCCAGTAGGAGCATGGAGGGAATCCCAAAGTCCTGAGACCAATTCCTCACTTGGTTGGGTAATCTTGAGCAAGAAGACCCTCTCTGAGTCCTGCCTGTGAGCGTTAAATGAGTGAGATCATTTGCAACTATGAACCGCAGTGCCCACTGGGTGACAAGGGACCTGGCCACACAGATCTCTGGATCTGATTTCTCCTCTCTGTCCGGGTGCCTTGCCCAGCAGCTCCACCCCTGGCTGTTGCAGTCATAGACACTGCCCCCCCAACCTCCACATTCTCTGATTCATGCCCTTTGCTGAAACCAGAGAGGGCTCCTTTAGAAGTGGTCTCCCCAGAAACCACGGGGGAAAAAACTCAACATATTCAGTGACCCTATTGCCTCCATCAGAAATTGGGGAACCGGAGATTTCCCAGGAACGGAGTGCTGGCATTTTCAGAACGTTGTTTAGAGGCCAACAGCGTTCAACTGTGTACAGCCAACCCATGGGAGGAACCACAGAGCTCCCTGAAATTTGGGATCAACTGATAGACCCAGAGTTTCCCCAATGAGTATCCTGGTCTTAGCAATGGTGTGGCCCTCTCTGGGCCTCAGTTTCTCCAACAGGGATGGGTTTGATGACTCTGGAGATCCTTTCAGAGCTAATGTTCTTGGATCCGAACTCTCCCCTGAAAATGTGGCTGGAAACATCCCATTTAGGGCTCTCCGTCCCGTCCCTGCTCCCTCAGTCTAACTCTCCCACCCAACGCTGAAATCCCTTAGCAAATCCCCTTAGCTTCATCTCGCTCACACACTTTCGTGGTAGGGAGTCCTATTCTGAGCGCGCCTTCTGCTGCTGAGCAGCTCC